AGATCCACAATCGGCAGCTTCTCTCCCCAGGACACCCATCTCTCCCAGGTTCCGCTGGGTGCCGCTCACAACTGGAGTATTGAGGAGGCAGCCACACTTTGTCCATGGTCACATAAAAAAGATGGAGTAAGAGGCAAAAGAGGCAGCAGCTCGTAACACATGAAAGCTGTCTCTCTGCCTCCTTCCCAGAGCAATGTCCAGGGCACAGCATTCTGCTTTTGCAGTGTTTCTGCTTCCTGAATTACACAAGCAGCCAAGAGAGTGTGGTCCTGTCACCTCCATGACTGAGCTACACAGACCTAATCCCTTTACCTTCCCACTGCCTGGTTCTCACACTGAGGAAGGGCTCCTATTTGAGGTTCCCTGCTTGCTGCATGACTGCACTTGATGTTCAGAAAAATTGGGTGGTTGCTCTGCCACCTGTGGTGGTACCTCATAAGACATGGATCAGACCCATTAAGCATCCCTATCTGCAATGATGGCAGCAAGGGAACCCTCTTACAAAGGCCATGACTAAGGGCCAGGAAGTCACCTATCTTTGAGAGAGAAACTAAATTTCAGATTCACCTCCCTCTGCTGGTTTAGGACTGGTCACTCCCCACCACCCTCCCCTCCTTCCTCACCTCATGTGCTTGCACACCCTTAAAAACAGAGCTGAACTGTTTTGAAAAATATAATCTCTGCCTTCTCATAAAACCTTACAACATATTTAAGGATTTTGGATTTGTGATAAGCTAAGTAAGAGTTGTTATGGAGTATAAACAACTATACTGTAAAAGAGACTATGCACTGGTTGTGCAGTACACAGCTATCCAGTTATCCTCTGAGACAGTACACCCCAAGCAGGTCAAGGAAGGGGTTTTTCCCCCTCTGCTCTGCTGAAACCCCCTTTGCAGTCCTGCGTCCAGATCTGAGGAAACAATACAAGAGGGACGTGGAGCTGTTGGAGTGGGTCCAGAGGAGGCCACAGAGGTGCTCCGGAAGCTGGAGCAGGTCTGCTATGGAGACAGGCTGAGAGAGCTGGGCTTGGTCAGCCTGGAGAAGAGAAGGCTCCAGGGAGACCTTAGAGCAGCTTCCAGTGCCTAAAGGGGCCAACAGGAAATCTGGAGAGGGACTTTTGACAAGGGCCTGTAGGGACAGGACAAGGGGGAATGGCTTTAACCTGAGAGAGGGGAGACTGAGATAAGATATTGAGAGGAAATTCTTCCCTGTGAGGGTTGTGAGGCCCTGGCACAGGGTGCCCAGAGAAGCTGTGGCTGCCCCATCCCTGGCAGTGTTCAAGGCCAGGTTGGATGGTGCTTGGAGCAACCTGGTCTAGTGGAAGGTGTCCCTGCCTGTGGCAGGGGGTTGGAACTGGATGAGCTTTAAGGTCCCCTTCAACCCAAACCATTTTGTGATTCTATGTTCTATACAGCAGCTTCAGCACAGCTACATAAACAGAGATCATGAGATTGCAGAGCCTGAAAATCCATCACTTCACTTTAAAGGGTTAAGCTGCAGATGGCCCACCTCCCATTGGAATAGCAACAGAAAGCTATGCCTAAAACCTGTAATTGATCTACTCTGTTTAACAAATACCCCTTAATTTCAAACAAGATGGGCATTACATCCCTACTAATTTTCAATGCTATTTCCACATCTCGTGGACTTTAATACAGTAATAAATTGAGCATGGTGGCAATTTGTCCCCAAAGTTTGCATCTCCAATCTACTGGCTTCACTAATGATCTCAGCTCTGTCTATTTAAGCCTGTTTAATGACACCATTCCTTGTATTGGTCATTAATGGCTTTACAGTTTAATGCAGCATGACAAAGGAACACAATGTATTTCATATAGCTGCAACTACAGTAATGCCTCATTTGGTATGCCTACCAAATGGAAGTAGAACAAGCAGACAAAAATGTGCTAAAAATGCAAACTAGCTTAGGGAAAATACTTGGAGTTTACAAGTTGCATGCTGCTTCAAGATTTTCACCTCCCTGTACACAGCTGAATTGAGTTTTCGTTGCAGTTTAGGTCACAATTGAATCAATTCCACCAAAAACATCTTTAGATTTTGCTGATTGCTTACTTTCAATTCAGTACTGCTGCAGAGCTGCTTCATCTGGATACACATATCTTAAAGGTTCCCAAGTCTGGAAGCTGGTTTGCATGTAAAAGTTTGTTATACTGAACAGCCTAGTTTGGGGTTTTTGCATGTCTTCTCAGTGTTTCTGACTGTGATATTATTTACAAACTGAATGCAAGGGCAATGTGTCAGTAAGATAAGGGTGAATCACTCAGATTTCTTTTCTTATACTACTTAGTTTAGTTCTGTACTTCTTTCTGACTATTCTTCTGTCTTCTGCTCACTAGTGGCTTCTTCTCCTATCCATGTAGCATTTCTTTATGCTTTTTGTCATATCTAATGGCTATGATCCTTTCTTTGCCTTGATGTGAACCAGGGGTTATGGCTTTGTTGAAGGTGTTCTTACTGTATTGTAAGACAGTCGGATACAAGATGTTCACCTCATCTTCTTGAACAGGTCCAACACCCCTCTCCCTGGGGATGACTTTAAAAGTCACACTCAGTTTAACTCATCTCTCTTTAAACTCCCATCCCTATTAGTCTTCTCATCTCCAAGGCAGAAGTATCATCTTGGAGTAACTACATGAGCAGGCAAAGGAAGAGCTACCAATGTCACCTATCTGGACTTCTGTAAAGCCTTTAACATGGTCCCCCACAACATCCTTCCTCTAAATTGGAGAGATACGGATTTGACAGATGAACTGTTTGGAGGATGAGGAATTCCTTGGGTGGTCACATCCAGGGAGTAGTGGTCAATGACTCAATGTCAAGATGGACATCAATGACAAGTGGTGTCCCTCAGGGGACAGTACTAGAGCCAGCACTATTTAATATCATAACAACACAGTATGATCAAATGCACCCTCCAGAAACTTGCAGATGACACCAAGCTGAGTGGCTTTTCAATCTTAAAGGGGGCTTGTAAGAAATCTGGGGACAGACTTCTTAACAGGACTTTTGAACAGTGATAGGACAAGAGGTAGTGGTTTTAAATTAAGAAAGGGTCAACTCAGATGAGCCATAAGGAAGAATTTTTTTATAGTGATGCTGGTGAAACACTGGCACAGGTTGCCCAAAAAGGTGGCAGATGCCCCATCCCTGGAAACATTCACAGTCAGGCTGGAAAGGGCTTTGAGCAGCCTGCTCACTGCAGGGGGGTTGGACTAGATAATCTTTAATGGTCCCTTCCAACCATTCCATGATTCCATGACTTTGTTTTTACACCTCCTTTTCTGCATCAAATTCACAAGTTCATCTCTGGCTCTAGCAAGAGATGCTAGATTCATCTCAATGATCTAGCTTCGTTTTTCCAGTGATGCATTTTTCACTCTCCTAACTAGCTCAGTAGTGCACTGAATGTTCCTCAAATTCCTTACCAGACTACCCCATTATACATAACACACTCTCATGGATCCCTCTGCTGTGTTTCCAGAATACTACTTCCAGAGTCAGCTTCGGAAGGCAGCAAACCCTCAAGTATATTCTTTCCTAACAAAAATTATTATCCAAAAAAAGAAGATATAAGCCCAGTGGAGGTGGCTGTTCCGTCTTTCACTGTCTAAGAATAAACTTCATTATGCCATGAGAAACTTGTTAGACAACTGAGTGACAGAATTATTGAAAGATTACATTTAAGAATTCGCTGAATGTGGTATAAGGATGAATACAGTCTGCATATAAATTCAGTATTATAAAAGATCTGTTTTGGCAATGCTTCACGTAGACACCTTGTAACTGGCTACTGGATGAATGCAACCTCTAATACGGTAGCAATTATTTTAAACAAAGATTATTTAAGAAATTATAGTATAATACACAAGAGCAACACTGACATCCCCATATAGTTTTTGAAGCACTTCAGGAAAACTTACCTAAAAAGAGTCACATACAACCCTCTTCAAATGAATTGCTTTCAAGGGCCAGAGCACTTCTGCTATGGAGCCAGGCTGAGAGAGATGGGCTGGTTCAGCTTGGAAGCCTCCACGGAGACCTTACAGCAGCTTCCAGTGCCTAAAGGGGCCAACAACAAATCTGGAGAGAGGCTTTTGACAAGGGCCTGTAGGGACAGGACAAGGGGGAATGGCTTTAACCTGACAGAGGGGAGACTGAGATGAGACATTAGGAAGAAATTCTTCCCTGTGAGGGTGCTGAGGCCCTGGCACAGGGCGCCCAGAGAAGCTGTGGTTTCCCCATCCATGGCAGTGTTCAAGGCCAAGGTGAACGAGGCCTGAAGTGAGCTGGTCTCGTGGAAGGTATCCCTGCCTGTGGCAGGGGGTTGGTAGTGGATGAGCTTTAAGGTCCCTTCCAACTCAAACCATTCTATGATTCTACTACACTCCTACAGCTATTCTTAACTGTATTAATCTATAGCAAGGGATGCAATCCCTTCCTTTCTGTTCCAATCTCCTAAAAAGGACTAACCAGTGCAGTTACTGCAGAAATAAGCCAAAGGAAATTACTGTATAGCGAATACTTTTGTTCAGCAGAAAACTGCTTTGACACCATGCATACTCAGCTTTGCAGCAGATGAGTCTTCTCACGGTCACTGAACCCACAAACTTTGATTTTTCTCTCCCCAGAGGTTATTATAGATTTCCATTGGTTTGTGCACTGAGGAAGTATTTTCAATCGATTCCAGTCCTGCAGTATTTAAATAACAATCTCAAAGGAGTGTTTTTTAAAAGACCCTTTGTGGGCATTGCTATTCCTGTTCACATATTTTACCCATTAATTATAAAATACTGTGCAACCTGGGGGGAATGGGAGGGTGGGGTGTTGAAGGAAGTCAGTTTAAAGGCATCGCTGAAAGGGAAACAAAGCATTCTGCAGCCAAAGAGCTTGAAAATGGTGATGTTCCCCCAGGACAGTTCATGATGTCCAATATAAGAAAGAGAACAGCCTTTGCACTACTTCACTACAGGAAAACATACCTTGGCACAACATTCCCATAGCATCCCAGAGCTCTAGCAAGTCTTCTCTCTCTTGAAACAACATCCTGACTCCCTGAATTCTTCTTTAATCCGACAGAAGTTTCTCTAAGGAAGAGGAAAAAGTCAGCAGTTATTCATTCTCTATCCAAAGCAGGGTCAAAGCAGAATTAAGTTAGACTTTCAGTGACAGAACGAAACACTGAATGGGTATACATTTCTCGAGCAACATTCATTTCTATGCTACGAAGTAATCCTGGGTCTTGTTGGGGAAGAAAATAGCGAAATGGTCCACTGAAAAAACAATACTCCTCTCAGAAAACACTGATTCAGTGCAACACATTTTCCATGGAAACATATCAATACCATTGAACAGTCTGACTGAAAGACAGTAAGATAAATCAGAGCTTATTTGTACCATCTTTGGTTTCAGTCCCAATTTCTCCCATGTCAAATAACACTGACATTTTTGTTTACTGGTTCTCATTTTGCATCCCCAGTAAGCACTGCTTGTCAGCAGCCTGTCTGCCTGCCATCCACACTTTACTGTTAAAGAAGGAAAGCTTTCCAAAGTGTATTTTCTTTTTTTCACTGGCAGGGAAATCCTCACTCTGGTCATTTATGAAGTGTAAACCAGCTGCAAGGACCATTTAATAGAGTTTAACAAGAGTCTGACTTTTAGCATGGTACTTCTAAAGTAGTCCAGACTTACTCAGAGACTCGGGATACATAACAGACAACCAGAAAAAAATGACCATTTACCGCAAGATCAGCATTTGATAGTCTAGAGTTATTAGTAGCTTCTCCCTCCAAGGTTGTGTGACAGGATATGATTGCCAATATCTTCCCAAACAGTGCTGGGTGACAACAGAATGATAAAACACTTCACAGAATCACAGAATCAGAGACTGGTTTGGGCTGGAAGGGACCTTAAAACTCATCCAGTTCCAGCTCCCCACCACAGGCAACAACGCCTTCCACTAGAGCAGGTTGCTCCAAACTCTGTCCAACCTGGCCTTGAACACTGCCAGCGATGGGGCAGCCACAGCTTCCTTAACTGAGAGCGTATTTTATATTTCATTCCCCATGGTTCAGCATCAGAACCTTACCAAATTAAAGATGTATATTATTTTCATTCTACCCTTCTATCCACCCCAGCACAAAAGGTTAGCTTTAACTTTGCATGGTGCTTGTTCCTGAGTCTCTCTACCAACGCACAGGAATAAAAATCACAAACTACTGGCTTAAGGCTCATTTTAAACAGATACTTGAATTTCCTTGCAACATTTCCTCATGCAGGCAAAAGCTAACTGCAGCAAGCATGGCAGTAACTCAGCTCAATTCCTGCCAAGTCTGCCCTGCTTGCCACAAATAGGATCTTTTTCTGTACCAAGTAAAATTAACAGACTACCTCCATGGGATGTATAAGAAAGAATTCAAAATGCAATGACAGATATTATGCAAAAAAAGAATTTACACAAGCACGCTAGAAATTAAAAACAAGGAAATTACTGATAAAGTACTACCAGGAATACTATGCTCCAAAAGATGCAGGAGAGAATCAGATCAGAGGTTGCCACAAGCACTGAGGCTAAACCAAATCAATAACAGCCTTTTGTTTGCAGATTACTGAAAGTGACAGGACAGCAATCAAGATCAACAGACCCACAGAAGCAGGCCAGGGTTCTTCAGATGCTGTCTTAACCTATTTTCAGGTTAAAGTATTAGTTATGGTGACTTAGCTATCAGAAATTGCTTGAGTAAGGTAGCACACTTGCAGTATTATCCTTGTTTTAGTAGAGGTGAATGTATAAATACTGTTCAGCCTGGAGAAGAGAAGGCTCCTCGGAGACCTTACAGCAGCTCCCAGTGCCTAAAGGGGCCAACAACAAATCTGGAGAGGGGCTTTGGACAAGGGCCTGTAGGGACAGGACAAGGAGGAATGGCTTTAACCTGACAGAGGGGGGATTGAGATGAGACATTAGGAAGAAATTCTTCCCTGTGAGGATGCTGAGGCCCTGGCACAGGGTGCCCAGAGAAGCTGTGGCTGCCCCATCCCTGGCAGTGTTCAAGGCCAGGTTGGACACAGGGGCTTGGAGCAAGCTGCTCCAGTGGAAGGTGTCCCTGCCCATGGCAAGGGGTTGGAACTGGATGAGCTTTAAGGTTCCTTTCAACCCAAACCAGTCTGGGATTCTATGATAAAAATTGATGTGGATACACTGCTTAGGAAATCCATATTTTTCAGATCACATAGTAATATTCAGGTATACTTCTAGATTCTGATTCTGCTGGTATAAAAACTCAGCATTTGTATTTATGACACACAGACCAAAGACACACAGGATTACTGAGTATACCCTAAGTTTAAAAAGTGAGTTCACAATAATATTCCACAGAATTTTATTGTATCCAGAGATTCTTTCATGCTTTTCATGCAAGTTCCCCAGGACTTTCATAGTATAAATATTCCACTGTAATCACACTTACCCAAATAATACATTTTTCCTAGCCTTGGTATAAAAATCCAGCTCCAGCCTTCATGTAGACACTGGACATTTGTGGAGGGACACTGACTCTTGCCAGTGGTTTTGCATGCTGAATTCCCACAGGTTTTCAGCCCCTGATCATTCAGCTGTGAACTGAGTTCTTCATCTTGGTCTCCTCCTTGACATCATTCTACAGAAGTAAAATCTCAAGAGACAAGTAGGGGAAAAATCACTCATCACCACTCTTTATTCCCCACTCACCCTGATGAACACAGATAAATCAAGGCCAAAAGAAACTCATCTCATTCTGAACCCACACTTCTCTCAGGTTTAGGATTATTTGTTCAAATGGACTATATTGTTAGATATTGCCAAGTTTGAGTATTTATTCTATCAGATTAAAGCGATCTGAATGTGCACATATATAATACACATATATACACAACCTACTTAGCTAGACAATTCTTCAGCATTAAGTAGCTTTATTACCTTTTCACCAGACTCACATTTCACACTGACAGAATGCACCAGTTGTTAAGTTGGTATGTTACCTTTCTTCTTGTCATTTCAAACACAAGTGTTTTGCACATATAATACTGCTCAGTGACCTTTTGCAGAGTCTGTCCTTATCTCCTGCCTTTGAAACAAGCACAACTAAAGTAGTCTCAGGAGACACAATAGCCAAGATCAGCTTCCACATTTCTAATACAAATGAAATGTGAAAATAAACTTGGGTCAAACTTTATAACCTTCATGGAACAATTCTATTATCCTCTTCTTGCAGCAGCAGAACAATAAAGTTGCCAATAAAAAACATCAAAAAATCATCATATATAGTTGTGGTAGGATCAAACCTGTCAGTATCATATTGCCGTCGTTTGGCTTCCAGGGTGCTGAAAGTTATGTGCATGCTCCTTAAAAAACAATCTAGCTGCTCAAATCTAGAGAGGTAGTTGATAAATAATTAGTTTTGCAGCTTAAATTCCCACTGACTTCATTACGACCTTTGGGTTTGACATGAATACCAAAAAAACAGGAATTTTACATGCAGAGATCTTTCACTGAAAGGAAGCACAAAGGGTGAGATTAAAAGGCTGGAAAAATACACCAAAGCTGATTTTGGAAAGGCTTCTCTAAGTTGCTGGTCTGCCTAGTTTAGGCAGAAATATGGCAGAAGCCAAGCTTCCTTTTCCAGTCCAGATACTGAAGCCCATTTAGGCAGAATTTGCCATAAGGATATTTTAATGTGTTCCAAATGCCTCTCCTACAACGAACAAGAGCACTGGGTCACCTCAGCAGGTGCCCATGCAGCAGAGCACATTACCAGGCAACACAGACGACTGCAACTGCCCTCACCTCCAACGACAATCTGCTTCCCAAGTGGTGCAGGCAAAGAATGGAATGTACAGCAGACTCTGACAAAATCAAAAAATACAAGGACCAAAACGAGTCAGAAGTCTGCCTCCAAAGCTGAATCCTGCAGCTCTATTCTTCTATTTAATTCACAATAGATTTGAGAGATAATGGTCAAATATCTATTGATTTTACCTTCCTATTCCAAATACACCCCATTTCTTTCAGGAGAAACTGAGGTGAACTGTGAACTTATTTGGAGCAGAAATCCCTCTGACCTTCCCACAGTTACTCTATTCAGCAAAGTTCTCCAATTCTATCTATCACACAATATAACACGGTATTAAAAAAGTGTTCCAAAAATGCCAGCAGTGGTAAGAAAATGTATGTAAACAAGTAACTTTTACACTGATAGTATTTTACAGTAAGAAACCGAGATGTTATCAAACTACAAGTATGACGAACAAAACATTTTACAAGGCATGCTAAGTGACTTTCCAAACTGATGCTATTTGTCACATATATGCAAACTAATAAAAACATTGCGTGCTTCTCCCCTCAGCTTCATGAAATATTTTTATCAAGGTATAAACATGAGAGGCACATTCTCTCTTCATTGGCAGTACATAAGCATACTACTGAGAGGAGACTCCTTCTCAGACCATGCATTTATACCTGAGCCAGCAGTAAGAGGAAAAGAATAGCTCCTTAAACATCATAAAGAAAACTCTAAACCAATCTTAACTAATCCTTCCTACCTAGCTTAATGAAGATAACAGTCCTCATGAATGAAGGCATTACGGAACACTTCTGTTTCACATCCTGATTTTTTTCTAGGACTTGGGTATGTCATATTATTTCATCCCTTCCTCAGTCACCCTGCTCAGGAAGAGAATTTTTATCAAGTTCATAGGATATCATTGCAAGCCCAAAGCATTAAGCAAACACAAACCACAGGGTCCTGCAAGAGACCGTAATAAAGACAGATGATAAATGATGCTACTGCAGCTGCATTTTTAAAAAGCCAGCATTCACCACAGACAACTGGTAGTAGAAGCAGTGCACAAATGTCTATCTACACTGAGAATTCTTAATGCTTCCAACATTCCCCTTCCCATTCCATTAAAGCTAATGGAAATATTCTCCCTCGATTTCAAATTGAATTTAAGAGCTAAGCTGAATTTAATAGGTGACACCTTTCAAAAGATGCATTTCTTTCTTAATAGAAAGTAAACTCTAAAATGGAACGAGAGAGAAACTGCACCAA